TTTTGTAGCACTGCGAGAAGTGCTTGCTGAATTGTTCGCATATAGTATTCGGGTCGTTAACAATGCTTCCGTTAACTATGAAGAATTTAGTCGTGCCAAGGGAATTTGACTTTACACGGGATTTAAAAAGCCGAAGTATTGATAATTCTGGGCTTTTACTACGTAGGGCTTTATTTTCTATATTCATAAAATACTTACGTTTAGATGAAGCATTTCTGTTGATTAATTTAAGTATACTCTGAAGTGCATACACATCATTCTGCTCGTAGTAGCGGCATTTTAATTTCCTCAGCTCTCTTTTAAAAGTATTTTGGCCCCTATTAGCATTATAAGCCACACGGTCAATAACTGGAGCAGTGCAGTCAAGGCAATATATCAGGTTGTGGTATAGATTGGAAAGCGCAATGTCAACATTATTTGTGGTAAAATAAGTTTCCCATGGTAAACATTGAATGAGAGTTTCAGTCCGTTTCCAGGTTTGCTGATCAAAATATCTGCTCTGGTACATCACTGAAGCTTTAGAGTTCAATTGTATGGCGTTTAAAGAGTGACTAATACTCAATACAACTCTATGGTCACTCATAAAAAAACTCATGACTGGTGATAAGTCTTGTCGATTGAACGCTATATTCGATTCCTAAGCTATTCTGATAACCTGCAAGCTAGAACTACGCAGCGACTTGAACACCAGGGAGAAGACGCAAAGTGTGAGAGAAATACTTTACTCCAAGGTTCGTTTTTGTACAGAAAATCATGGGTATTTATAGATGTTAGCTTTTGTTAAATCAACATCATATTTCAGCCAACCCGTTAGCGACATATTATGCTACTGACCAATAGCAGCACGCCACGTTGGAATTCTAGAATGCTCCATCGTGCTGTGATTGGCTAGGACTTTTCGGCTCCTTTTGGGCCTCTGGAGGCTCTGTCGAAGTTCTCCGAAAGCCGACTCAACAACTGATATGCACTGAGATAGAGTCTATGTTGATTGTGAATATTAAATCAAGTATATTATTCCCTCTGGTCGGTGTTCGGACCTGTTGAACCCATCCACAAATTTCTAGTGTTTCAACTAGCTTGTTATATCTACCTGGTACCGGAGTCAAGCCTCATGTAATTTTTGGCAGATCAAAATCACCTCCAGTGATTTTAAAAGTATACGGTTGGTGCGAAGCAATGGATCATGACCACACTTCAGTCTAAGAAGATCCCCCAAACGTTTGAATGCCTCATCCATAATTTATCCGTAGATCCTAAATTTATGCATACATACGTTACAAGAAATGCACCTCGAGGGGACACATCTTCTTTTGCAACGACTTCAAAACATGATATCATTAAAAACAAATGAGGGTCAGCTGGTTACAAACCTTGTTCCAAAGGGAGAAAACACATCGCAGAACAATTACATCTTTATCGATACTGATGATAAATATCGCCAGTTAGGTGTTAGCAGTTCAAGAATCAGTGTCTGAATAATGTTCATTCTTTCCATGCATATTGACAGTCACCACTATGTTTTTGATGGTGGTACTTTATTATAGCTTGTATGGCCGGAGATCGTAGACTTTCTATACACGCACCTGAATGGGTTATACGATTACTAGGCATAGTGATGTGTTTGAAGATATGAAAAATTGACAACATCCTGAAATATCTACAGGACAAGAACAGGTAACCCAGATATTCAAGCAGGTCACCAGGTGCTTATTGCAAGGCAGCTTGAAGTAATTTCCAAGTCTTGGCTTGCAACAACTGTTCGTTTATTGTGTCTCGACAACAGAAACTTAAATGTTATTAACAGTGTATGTATTTGTACTGTGGTGACCAATGTGCATCACAATGCACTTGGAAGAATTTATCGTCAACTGTCAAGATTTAGATCAGTCATATAATTTTTCCATGTCATTTTTACGCTCCGAACTATCACTATTTCGCAATACTGTCTATACTTTGACACTATCATCATGTAACGAAACCGATTATGATATGAGACTGGGAAAGTCATTTATATTTATGAGGAACAACGTTGGCTTTAAAAATATCCCTGAAATACTCTATCAAACACAGCTTTTCAACTGTACACATTCGAGTTCACCCGTACTCACTGTTGAATCCATTTACCCTTATAAGTAGTTTGCCTACTGTCCCGATATAACTTAGCTCGGATAACGAACTTCGTCGAAAGCCCTAATAACGCTAATAGCGACTGCATCTACAGGTAACTTTTATTATTATTATTAATGGCTTTATTCAATATTATATTTTGGTACAATATAGAATTCTCAGCACAGGGTTTTTCAACAAGTTACTTACTGAACAACGAACAAAAAGGCAGTAGCAAATACGAAAAGAAGTAAAAAAAGGTTTTTTTAAAAAAAAGAAAAAAGGAAAAAAACCAAAAAACTATACAAACTTTTTAAAATTAAAGACATGTTAAGAATACAAGTTATTGACTAGGTTAATTCTAACAACCTGTTCGTCACAGAGTATATTTGTTAGGTAAGGTATTATAGAACTTTCATACTTTTCCTTGCGTGCATGGATTTTAATGTAATTACGTCTCGTTCTACCAGAAGATATACAAGGAGAAAGATAAGAGTGAAGGGGATGGCTAGTATCTGATAAAATAACACCTGCCAGGAGTTTGCATGATTTTAAATGTCTATCCACAACCATATTAATTATGACCTCGAAAGACTACCACACATCTTTCTAACTGCCTTTAGCACTCTTCGCAATACAGCAAAGTCTTTTCTCAAAAGCCCGGGAAAGAATAATGGAGAACAGTAAAGGATAATAGGTAATATGCAAGAATTGACAAACTGTAAGAGTAAATGACGAGTAATTCCAAGAGAATGCAATCTCTTTATGTAGTAGGTCAGACGGAAAACCCTCTTTGATAACAATAAAACGTGGGAAGACCAAGACAGATCAGAGGAAAAGGTGACACCAAGATAATTGACCTTCAACACTGTGTTTATCAAAGAGTCTCCGATGGTACAAGCATTATGGGATCTCAAAAATAGTGTTTATATTCCGTTCATGCCTCATGCTAAAGTTAACAGCTTGACATTTAGACGGATTAAGTATGAGACCATTACCAACAGACCAACAATCAATACGAGGCAAAAACTCATTCATTTCTATGGGATGTAAGCTTATACTCTCAGATTTAAACTCAAAGGAGTTCATGATTTTCTCAAAAGATTTGCATAAGTTTATTATTATTATTCACAAGCATCTTATGGGTACATAAGTGTTGTGAAGAAGCCATTTTGGGTTTCTTCAAAAATGCAATAATACACAAGTTTCAATAATGTTAGCATTATACCTGCCATATTTAAAAAAATAGAGAAATAATAGTGGATTATTATTAATAATAAATCAGGTCTGTGTAATTGAGAAGAATATTGAATTGAGTTTAAAAAAGGAAATGGAGGAAATAAGGGAATAGAAATAAAGAAGACGTGAAATACGCGAATAGTTTAATAGGCGTGTTTATGAACACAGAACAGGAATAAACGGCTATGTATGTATCGTCAACTTAGTAAAAAAAAGTAGAAAATACAAAATAATTAAGAAAAATTAACTTATTATTGCAGTAAGATATGACGCTAGGATAAATGTTTGTGCAGTTATAGTTTGGAGAGGTATTTACTCATAAAAATTGTGCATTGCCAGTATCATGTTGCGGTTGCACATGGTCAACTGCTTCGTATTACAAAGCCTACCTAGAAAAAAACAATGATGAGAAGCGTACAGACCATGGCATTCATTAGAAAGCCTTGGATGAGTTCAATAATAGCCAGTTCCACATTTAATCTGGTTTAATTAACTGGCTAATATTAGCGCTTTTTGAGTGTAATAACGAAAAATTTTTGAGAATTGATAGTAAGCGTTCAGTTTCTCTGAACCTATCAGCAAACAAACTTGCTGTCTTTATATATTCATATACTCACAACAAACATGTGATCAAATATCTGACAACAATTCCAAATGCTATACAGTTTTTAGTGACTAGGGTTTTCAGATCTTGAGGTCGTTTCCTTATGTGCTCAGCATCAACAAAATTCATCTAACAAATATCGTTGGATATGTACACTTATACACGGATACATTGAGCAGTCATCCGGAAAACATTAATCACAATAGTCTTGAATAATCCGGCATAATCTCATAGATGAGGTTGATACATTATGCTTCGTTTGCGTTATATAAAGACAATACAAGTCTGATTTAGAGTTAATAGCCACAGTCACGTGAGGCAAAATAGTTCAATCAACATTTATCGACCCATTTTTCAAACCTTTAGAGAATTCCATTTACAAATACGAGCTGTGTGAATATAGCTGATTAATAATTCTTGAGAAGTTAGTGAGCTTTCTGCACTGATAACTAACGAGTACATGGGAGGAATTGATGACTCTGTTGACAAACCTCCAAAATTTATCTACAATCTATGTGGGACATGTTGTACAGCTCAAGGCTGTGGAACTCTTTGTTTTATTTGTTTTATGCCAATATGCGCATTTGAGGAAATAGTCAAAGACGCAACCAGAATTCGGCGTCCTTTCTCGTACTTATACGCCTATATCATGTCAATATTCTCATGTTGTTGCTGGGGTCCCATATTAGGGTGTTCCAGAAAATCGTTTCGACGCAGACGTGGGATACGTGGATCAATATGTTTGGACTGTTGCATCGCATGTATCTTACCTTGCTGTGCAATGACTCAGATGCTGCGTGAGCTCAGAGAAAATAAATTTGACTATCCAGATACTTCTAAATCAGGATCAGTTGCGGAAAGTGAAAATTGATAATGATCATAAGTACGTAAGGACTGGTTATAGATATTAAAAAATGTACATACAAAAATGTGATTAACTGATAGAAAATATATACAATAAATGACCACTATATGCATGCTTTTTCACGGATAGTTTGTAACTGGAGGGAGGGTTTCTTAAAAAGTCACGTTACGTGAACTACATCGCAAAATGGTCAAATGTAAATTTAAGAACGCTATTAGTCATGCGAAACATTCACTTAACCCAGGTAATGTGTAAAATAAAATGCTTCACTTGTGTAGATAGAGAAAAACAGCCCAAGGGAAGTACAATGCGAACTAAGGCTACTATTAAGCGACTTAATATGTACCGTAATTTCAAGGCCAAAAGGTTTGTATGGCTTACTTGTACGATGTTGACGTAGGAACAAAAATGGGAAAATAGTTCGCCCTGCACCTTTTCAATCAACTTTACCCTCCGGTACAGTTGCACGGGTCGAGCCTAATAGACGATGGTTTGGTGGGTTGGCTCTTGCAACTAATAGGTGTATTTAGGCAATACACGTGTTATAAGTCAAGATACGTTACAAAGTTTCAAAGAAGCGATGAAGATCCGAAATCCCTACGAAATTATTTTACGTCAAACTCGCTTGCCTATATCACTTTTGGATGAGAAGAAGACGGTATTAGTTTACTTGTGTTATATTATGTTGTAGAAAACTAAAAGTGCTCTTTTAACATCACAGAGCTATTCCTATGTATTTGGGGATAAAGCACAGCGCAAAAGACCTTCGTTGGAGTTTGATGATCTGTCGGTAAATTATTTATGTCTTTCGTTTGCCTATTTCTGAATCAAGCTGTCTTACTTTTGTGGTAGATCTCCCGAGTAGTAAATGCTCTTTAAATAACTATAAACGCTGTAGTCTTATCGGATGATTGAATGGCGATATGCACAAGTTGCATTAAATAGTAACAAGAAATCGCCAAACCATTGTCTGATATAAGTTGCTGGAACTGTATGTTGTGATCACAATGAAATGTATTCAGTTAATAATTGGCGTCCCAGGTTTCCAAGATTTGACATTCCAATTGTTGGCGGAAGTACTGGAAAGTCTTATTCCCATAGTTTTTATTGGTATCGACATCGTAGTGGCAATGGTAGTAGCACTGCATGTAAAACGAATTCGGCGCTGTTACAGCCTGTCAGGCATACATTTTTTCCGTACGCTGATAAAGTCTGGCCCCTCAGACCTAATGATATACCTTGGTTTCCCGTTAGTCGTTGATTATTGTAGTGCAAGACACATTGGCAACTGGATGTAATTACTGCTACCGTTCGGTAGTGTATGTTACTATCTCATAACTTTACCATTTCTTTAGGTAATTGCCATCTTTATATGATGTTTTTAGTGCTTCATGGCACTAAGAATGTTGTGTGTAAGCAAATCAAGGTTTCTATTAACACAAAAAGCTACATAATGGCTTTTTAGTTGTTAATTAAGTTCAGTTGATGAAAATAACTTCATGGTAGCTAGACACCTTGATTCTTTAAATTTTATTGCAACGCTGAATAAGTACTGTTTGACTTAACTTTGTCACATATGTTTGGACTGTACATCAATTACTAAGTTTGTTCTGGTCAATACAAATAATCTTCAGAATTCATTAGAAATATAAAGTTTGCTCTATCTTTTGTTAAGAAGACATTTAACTACTTGTTTACTGAATGACAGGTAAGATTATTGTAACAAGTACCCTGGTGTTGGATTTCAAAACGTTTCGAAGATACTGATTATGTTATGATTATTAGCGCTATCATTTGATGTAACTACCTGTTTGTTAGAATATCATGAAATCCTTCAATAAAAGTAGAAAGCAAATAATTTTTTGATTGACTCTGTATCGTTCGTGACCAAATTATCGACGAACTTATTTGCATTCATGTAATTTTCGTCAAATCATTTTTCACCCCTTCAGTAGTACACACGTCAAACAACTAACACTTAATATTTTCTTGTTCTTTAGTCACTTGTACAACATGCTGAGTCAAATCAGTATTTGTATAACTCGACGGATGATAAGCATATGGTTCGATGTGATGATGGTGTCCGAGAATTAACACAGGATCCTCACTTCAAAGCTGGTCGATCGAAGAGACTATGGAATGAGTTATTTAAGGCAAGTTTCTAAGACATTTAACGGCGAGACTGTAATTTATGGACAACCTTTGAACGAATCTTAAGTGACCTTGGAAAATGTTAGTCAATCGGCAAACAGTCTGTAGAGTAAAAATATATTATACAAAACCAGGGAAATAATGTGGATACACTTCTTATACGTGGTTCAAAAACTTGTCAAGGTTAGAAAGAGGTTCTGAGGTCGTGAAATCGTAAAGTAGAGGAAATCATCCATACAGCCACAGAATAGTCGGCCTCTGGAGCCATGATAAAGTCTCAAAAACCCTTTCAGCCTCGACTACATAGTTCTGATATTGTTTATGTGTACTTCAGCTGTTGAGTACACAAAATGCTACTTCTGGACAATGACACGATGCACATAACCAAGCCTATTTAGGAGTCTGTACGCTCTCCAGTCATCCGAATATATTGTAGTACCTGGCTGCAACCAGTGTTACTGGTGCTTTTGTTATCCAGTTCGCGATAGTTGTCATAATTTGCCGTATTTAGGAATTATATATGCGGTCTTCATCACGAACTGACATCAGCTATAATGCCAGGAGTTTATTTAACCAAAAGGATGAAAGGCTTTCGCATTAAAATCCGAGATCTATTATCTTATGCCTGATTGATTTGTTCACAAATTATAGTCTCGCCGTTTTGTTTGTTACAGCCGCTCAGTTATCACGTTTTCTACAAAATTCGTTATGAATCCATCGTACGTTAGCATAAAGCACTGGAGTTGGCGCCGTAACCTTGAAATCTTTAAAATGTTTCTGATTGGCTCGTCCATAAATTAAAGTCTCGCCCATTTAACTATTATACAACATTCAGTTTGTTAGTTTGTTTCAAAGCCCCATTAACTATAGATTTATATTTATTTCATGATCCTAAAGCATCACCACTTACAGTGTATAATAGAACCTGTTAGTACATTAATGCGATCTAGCGCAATTCGAAACATTAGAAAGAAACTATACTAACAGTATCAATGTCTTGGAATAAACAGGAACATCACATCTATGTCGCTAACGTTTGTTCTATGTCATCCTATCTGAGACCTTCAACTATCGATTTCTATTCGTGATTTCCAGTCGGAAAGCCCTACCGTTGCTGTTACCTTGACGTGGTGTTCGGGCTTGCTTATCGTAATGAACCAATCGAGCTATACTGACTGGAACAATCGTTCCTCAAGGTTCTACCCTACCAGATAGGTTGGTTGAAGAGCAGTAAGGCTAAAAGCAGCAAACCCAAGGTCCGAAGGCAAAGTCGTACTGCTGACTACACAGAGGTGTGACGGGAGTAAGGTGTTTCCTTCAGACCAATATAACAGCGGCGCTGCCTTCCCACAAGGAGGGATGGGGTCAGAAAAGGCCGACCCTAAAAATGTCCACCTCGCCTTATCCCACGGATATCCGTCTCCAGCGGTAAGGTCTCAACAAGTACGAATTTAACACGAAAATTACCCACAACAACGTCGTGTGTGGCTGACCTCAAGCAGTTGTCCCTTGCTCACTGCTGTTAGGTCACTAAGATCACCCGTAACCCGATTTCCTTTTCAGGTACCTACAGAGAACCCTCTCACAATGTGGGCAACCGGGAAGTGGTAACTGTTCTCATAACTCTAACAGCGCTCAAGACCACTGAGTTGGAAAGACTGGCCATTTGAGATAAAGTAACAAGAAAACGATTTCTTATTAATGAGTTAGTAAACTGAAGTGTACTTATGTACAGAAAACGAGAAATTATTTCCTTCACCCAATATCTTGTTCTGGTTGTTATAAGACCTTCTACGTAATTCTATTTCATTCAAACATTATTCTCACTTCTCCCACAATCAATGAACAATCGGATGGTCATTCTTGTATGGGATCAAGTTTTAAGGGAGAGATTAGTTACATTTCAAGAACATACGTCGGGTGGTGCTCATCCTTAGTCACTAACTAATCCAAAGCAAAATACTTATCAAGAGATATGCATAATGTGTATTAGTTGCTTGCGTCAATACAGGTTAATAGAAATTTTGTTTCCTGTTCTTCTTGTCAATTATTTCTTTCTGTGATATTTCTAAGTGGTATTAACTGTTATTTCTTACCATTCATAAAAAATCAATCACAATACAGTCCCCATCTTTATTTTATGTTACTCTATCATACTATTACTATTTCGCTGTACACTTGATAAAATCGCAGCACATAAATTAGAATTCCATCCACTGACATAATTCATCGTAGAATACGTACACAGTGTATTCTCAGATTCTGACCTATGTTGGATAGCTACATCACAGTATTGGCGTTACTGCCGACAAGTATGACCCTTATATAGTCGGTAAGTTAATCTGTGTTCTCGGAGATATATGCCCCGTTTAACAGGAAAAAGTACTAAGCCGTTGTTCTTAAATTCGGATATATCTTTTTATATTTTCAAGATAGTTCTTAAACGTTAAAGTAGTATAGTGTGTAATTAACTTAACATTAAGATGCTTCAAGCAATAGATTACTTAAAATTCAGTTCGAAACCTTTTAAACCTATCAAGTCAGTCAGTTATACTCAACATAGAGCTTGGCACAAATATGAATCAGGTCAACTTATCACTAACTTTTATGTACGCTTCCAAACTCGAGACTTATTGCTTCAGCTATATAAAGAGTTAAAGCTAAGTTATTATCACTAATCTCTTGTGCCAAATGCCCTGGTGTGGCCGAAAGTGGGAAGAGTCGGTTCTCCCTCTCGAAGTGCTCTCACATGGTCATGCGCTTACAGACACTGCCAGAGAAATCATGCTAATTGCCTTCTCGCTAAATTGAGAGGACGAAAAGTGAATAACCTGAGCTTTAACAGAGGTCCCATCTAATGGAGTTAAAAAACCCCGACTCCAAACCAATGGTGCACATGGGCTCCAAGATTTTGAGGGAACTGTTATAACTTGTACCCTGCGTCCCATTAATGTTCAACGGAGTGATACCGCCAATCAGAAAACAGTGGATTATCGACCGGACCAATGACACATAAAACAAGTGCGAGCAGTCTAGAATCCTTATCGGTCCTGCTTCCTGCCTATCCCTGCCTGTTAAGTTTAGAACATCAATCTCAGCCCCTGCGATGTGAATCATTTATTTCAAACATACTGGGTTATATACCAACCAAACAGACCACATCGTACCATAAAATAGGAAACAAAATTTGCACGAGATTTAGCCAAAAGTGGCTGTTAATGTGAGGGACTGTAATTAATAAATTGGGAATAACTTAAGAATGGCAAATCGTATAATATTAGTTCATAGGTCAAAATAAAGCTCATAATAAAATAGACACGAATATGAATAGTATAGTTACTTAACAATTAAACGATAAAATATATGTATAGTATTGGTCCATAAATGGATCCTCAAAGTTACCATTCGTTATTCCCATCGGGATATAATAGGAACGAGTGGTGTATAAACCTATTTTTGACCACCGGATTCCATGAGACCTCTTCTCATCGTTGCTCCACTGTGCTGTGGAATAGATCTCTAGGTCAAAGGTCTCGGGAATGGCCCCCTAAGAAAACCACCCTTTCGATCTGGGCATCCAGCCAGTATGCCAGCTCACACACAAAATAAATGGTAGCTACTTTGTGTGGCGCATATCTATTTGGCTACCGCTTTGTACCAATGTTACGTGTTTATATAATAATAAATGAATCATTCTAGAGCTCTCTCTAATAAATAAGTAATTTAACCCTTTCACCAGGTACTTCGGTATGAAGTACACTCTAAATGTGAGAGTTAATAATACTACTACCCAGCTGCCTAAACTTGAGTAGATGGAGAAGGGTTCGGACCGGAAACGTAATGGCTGAAAGTTAAATGCTTTAACCAATAGGCCACCGCTCCATGAACTTCATTTAGCATTATTATATCATGAGATATTAAAAATATACCAAGTGTTTGTGTATTTTCTGTGTGACGTTTTAAACGATTTTTTACTGTCTGAATGTTTATTTCTAGGTTTTAGACTCTTCAGATGTTGTACTGTATATTTTGGATGCGCGCGATCCAATGGGCACACGATCTCCTTATATTGAGAAGTACTTAAAAACTGAAAAACCACATAAACATTTCATATTCATTATCAACAAAGTGGATTTAGTCCCTGTGTGGATAACAGTAGGTTGTATGTATTCTTTTCTTATTTTTTTTATTCCTTTATTAAAAATCATGCTATCGCAACTCTTCTGATGCGCGTCTTAGTAAAATGATCCGGTTGTACCTAAGTGAAATTTCATCTTGAACTATACAGCCCCTCCTAGTGTACCTAATCATGATAATATTATTGGTTTTGCATTATAAAATTAATAAAATATCTGGAAATAAACATAATGTTGAAAGTTTTGATTCATGGAACAGCTCGTGTACTAGATTTTTGATGATAGGTAATGGTAGTATGGATATAATGTATGAAGTCAAACTTTGCAATGTAGAAAACTAGAAGGGTATATACTGATGTGTCTCCTGAATTTGTTTTGTCACATACCGCTGGTCGCCATTTATGTATTGCATAATGTGCTCTCTATTCCGTTTATTCAGTAAGTTGAATTTCTGTTAATTATATTTGATAATAATACTTTGTTGGCAAAATTGTGGCTCGATGCTCTGACAAGAATCACTACACTGGGCCCGAATACTTAGATATTAGCATTTTTTTCGATACTTCGGTCAAACTCAAAAATTGGATTATAGGTTAGCTTACACCATATTGTCATTGAAATAATGTCATTTTTATTACTGTGTTGTGGCAATAAAGCGTCATAAAATTAAAAATTTTGATTTGTTGGATAAGAAGGATAAAATGCCGAAATAAACATTCGATTTTTCAGAGTAAGTGTCTCATAGTTGTTCTGTTACTTTATTCTAGGATGGTTTTTGTTAAAATCTATATGGTTAAAAGCATCAAGTAAACATCTGATGATTTGTTCATCTAAACGCGTGAATTGTTACGAGTTAGCGTTATTACAGACATATCTGAGCCAATTTCCTTTTTTAAAAAAATGCTTAGATTCTACCCAGTTATTCGGGTAAATTGTTACTACTTAAGATCAAGAAACAACTCACAATCCAAAGCTTGGAAAACAAATAAATGAAACCTATTTACGCTATTACCTCCATACTTCCCTTTTATTGAATATAAAGTTGTTCAACCCACTGATTATTGTCTACTTCCGGTTAATAACAATCCCATAGAACTCTGTCTGATTATGCTATTATTGGCTAATTAATTACTTTACAGTTATCCTTTTTTCAAAACTAAAATGTATTACCTATTACCCTATATTAAGAAAAAATTTTATTCTACACTGTTTATATCTAATTGAAAATTCATTCAGTGTCTAACCTGCTTCGGCTTGGGCTCCCGGGCAGTATCCAAGCCCTCATATAAATTGAATGATTTATGTGGCGTATATCTATTTGGTGCTTTCTTGTACCAATGTTTAGGTGTTTAAATAAATAAATAGGACCATCATTACAAGATGTGTTCATGGCACATGCTGAAAATTTGGCTAAAGACCTAACTATTAATCCCCATTATGACTTACTTGTAGTATACTTGAAAACAATTGACTGAATTCAGCAAATTACTACATTTGAATGATGGCTGTAGCAATAAGTACAATACAGTTTATAAATAAATTATCGGGTTTGCTTTTGAGTGCTCACTGACCCCCTATAGATCCAGTTGCAGTTTTGCATCCAACTCAATAACTGCATAACTTTTGGTAGGTATATCTTGACTGACAAACTATCTCAGTGTCCTAATATTCTATGAGTAAGTAATCCTGTCACAGAGAATCTTTTGATTATAACTTTAAGTTCAGCGTGTCATCAGGTTGAGAAGGTTAACACTTAAGCCTGTAAAGATATTGTTGTTAGTCGTATTATATTCATAACTTGATTATTCATCAGAGTGTAGTCAATAAAACATAGTTTTGCATCATGAACTGAGCCTAGTTAAACCAACAGCTGATACCAGGAAGCAATGAACTGCCGTTTCGTCCTGGTATAGGACTACCCAATAGTGCGCACTTACCGCTCCTTGTGGGGTCGAACTCCGAACCTCGAAGTCTCACAGTAAGCGCATAACTTTTAAACCACTAAGCCAGTATCCAATAGGTTACTGTCTAACTACAGTCGATTTTCAAAATTCCTCTATGTTATCTTGTGGATAACTGCCTCACAACCGAGATAGCCGAATTCCACTGGTCATTGTTTCTCAATTAAAGTTTTCTTAATATTTTTTATACTTTTAATAAGTAATAAAAGTTAGTTTTTATCATGTCAAAAGTCGATGACCAAAAATTCCTAGGAAGAATTGTCCACAGTGTGATTTTATCCTTCTGACATGTGGAAGTTTATAGTTCGAAGCCTCTAACTTCGGGAACTCGATTTAGGACTCAGAGCTGACTCAGTGTTATTATTGGATAAAATTTCTTCATGCTGATCAATTTGAAGTATAGAGTGGTTTCCCTTTTCTGATACTTAGTGTTCGTCTGTCTATACACTGGGATTTGTGCTAAACGTACTAATCATGATTGTCTTTTGGAACCATCTAACAATCTATTTATTGAGCTCACCATGGAATACTTTTTCGTTATTCGATCCGTAATTTTAGGAATCTTAATGTGTCGTGAGAAATAACCTTCAACCTAACCATTGCTTTTCAAAGTCACCAATGGCAATCTACTTAACTCGTTCCAAGTTTTCTTATTCTGGCCAACGGTAATATATGCATTTATATATGTTTTTCAGATGAACATTTTCTGCTATATCTTTTACTACATATAGAAACGATGGAAAGCTATCTTATCTGAAGAATATCCTACACTTATATTCCACGCTGATATGACTAAGCCTTTGGGTAAAGTGGCTCTCATGGGTCTTTTAAGGCAAATGGCATCACTTCATAGTAAAGAACGACCACAAATATCAGTTGGTATCATTGGTTATCCAAATGTTGGAAAAAGTAGTATCATTAATGCTCTTAGGTAAGTTGTGTATTGTCTTTTTGCTCTCAAAAGTACCTTTTTAACAAATATACTCACTATTACGTTTATATATATATATATATATATATATATATATATATATATATATATATATATACACGCTTATACTGTGTCACCTGAATTCGATTTCTCATCAGCAATTCGCTACATCGTGTCGACAAAATTATTCACAAGTGTATAATCATGTAGGCGCTTTCAATTTATTAAATTGCGTTAGTTCATTTGTAATGAAGGAATTTCTTCAATCACCTTTTAATCATTCCTGTCTGTTACTGACATACATGGTGTTAGTACAAAACGATAAAATGAAAATTACTTCTTAATAAATGAACCCACAATTGAAAATGAATGAGAATTGATTATTACTTAAGATTTTAATTTTGGTTAAAAACAAGTAGTGTAGTATAACATTTTCTGTAGGCAAACTTGGTGGATAAAAACTAATTCGGCCATCGTCTTAAACTGGCGTTTTATATCGACCGCTTAATTTACTAAGTATAACTTCTAAGCTATAGACTATCATCAGTACACAATGCTTATCAATACTGCTTTTTTTATTTTGCATTTGTTATTTCAAGAAATAAAAAAGTTTGTAATGTCGCCCCGTTGGCTGGCGAAACAAAAGTATGGCAGTATGTTACTCTAATGAAATCTATATTCTTAATCGATTGTCCCGGAGTTGTCTATCCTGATGGTAATACTGAAGCAGAATTAGTTATGAAAGGAGTTGTAAGTGATGTCATTTTTGTGAATTAAAATAGATTGATATAAAATGTATGTAGTCAACCAAGCGTTCGCCTCTCATTCTGTACTTGTTCCCCATTACATTTTCCTGGACTTTTGAAGAAATAATACACTATTGCTATGAGTATTGAGGATTATGAGTGTGGAAAGTAGTGGATCTTTTGATGGTATTATGAATGTGTGTGTAAATGAATAATTAAAATCTTCTGGATGGCTTTCAAGTGCTATTCTATCAGATACAAACCATTTGCTCCATTCATATCCTTCCCCTTGTATATGACTTAGCAAGACAGGCAGGTACATTAGAATCCACACACAAACAAACGTGTAGAAGCTCTGCAGTACCATATCTAGTACATATGCTATGCAATCAACAGATTGTAAAGGCTGATCTATCCTAAAAGATCTTTTCTGTTGAATACGTATAGCATTTATTATTCAGTCATCTCTTTTGTCTTTTCTCTCACTCTATCGTCGTGTTGACATTTATTTGTACAGTATCCACATCTCAAGGTTATCGTTATATATTTCCAAGCCTATTGTAGCCCTCAACTATTCTCTTTCTTTAGAGTCTTAAACCGATCAATGTTTAACCGCCATTGAAAACCTGGGAGCACTGGACGGCGGCCCCAACCTCCTTCATTCGTATTAGCGATAGATTTCTGTTCGGAAGGTTATCTTTCTTGTCCGTGTACAAAACTCGTTTTCGGTCGTAGATCCCGAACCAGTCAAGGTAGTTATGTTGTTGTGCCGTATAATTGAGATGTGTTGTTGAAATTATAAACAGCTTTAGTGGTGTCTAATTCTCCGGAAAACCAATGTAAAGTTACCCTCCGGAAGTACATATTTATAATTGTAAATAATGAAGCAGTTACCCAGTAGTTAGGTTGCTTGACTCTCATCCACCGATTCCCAGGCTCAAACCGCGATCCACCCACTTCAGTTTGGGCAACTTGTTGGTGCTGCTAGCCTTTACAAATATTGTCTATTCCGGAGCCAAGTGCATGAGGGCTTACTTGGTAAATGAGTTAATAAATTCAGTTCTTTGACATACCCGATAAATGAAATTGTATAAAAAATTTTAAATGTTATGTCCCACTGCTTATAAATTTAATATTCCTTCACTGTACACTAATATTTTTTTCCCTTTAGGTGAGAGTAGAGTACTTACAGCAGCCTGATCTGTATATTCGTGATGTATTGGAACGTGTTAAACCAGAATTTCTACAAGCCAAGTATAATCTACCACCATTGTCATCAGACGATGTTCAGAATTATTTGCAAAAGCAAATTACGGATAATGAAGTAAATAATGAAAGAAGTAAGGATATCAACTCAATTTTATCACAATCCTCTACTACACCTTTATTATGGAATGACTATCCAGAATTATTTTTAGAAACCTTAGCTCGACAAAGTGGTAAATTACTAAAGGTAATTGAAAACTTGTTATCATTTTGTATAATATGTATCTAGTCAGTTTTATTAACCTATTATGAAATCCGACCTTTATGATACACGTCACTTAATACTGTTCGTTTACGACGCCTAACTTGCCAATTATCGTTTTTTCCTTAATTGATAATGTGATTATGGTACTATGACACTTTTGAAGTATGAAAGAACAAAGTATTTTTCAGTTGGGGCGGCCAAACCAAGACGTATTGTCAGTTTACGAAGCTACTGATTGTCAGACTAAGACATATCGGTAGGTATAGACTATCTGGTTTAGCGTCCTTGAATTGTCCTTACCGATGTTTAGAAACGCCGTGATATGACTGAGAATTAGTTGCAGTGGCGTAGATAAATTCAACCTTTGTTTTCGTTTAGATCTTTCAGCAAATTCACTTTTTGAATCGTATTGTCTACAGCTTATCCTTTCTATTACCACTGATATTGTTACTACTTCTATTACATTGACACTTGTCTTAATAATCTTATCTTACTTTGTTGATATGGTATGGTAGCTTGAACGAATATATATATATATATATATATATATATATATATATATATGATCGGTTCTACGTTGCTTATGACCGACCGTGTGACATACACTTCTTAACGTCAGTTCTGTTATTTTAGAATAGTAACTTACTCAATCCAATGGTTTCTTATGTTTCTTTCCGAATACGTTGTATACTCCTGTTATAATACAGCTTTAGATTATTATAGTCTGTTGTGTCTGTCTAATATCTACTTTGGTTTTCGTGCACATGAAACAGAGGAAAGTTACACTTACATTATACTTGACGAACCCAGTTGGTTAGTTTCTGCCTCCCGTTATTTTTAGAGCACTACTTTCCCATAATAATAAAAATGATAAGACGATAAAAATTTCGGTCAAGTAATAATTCTATCAATACGCGAATTGCACGGAGTTATATACTGAAGCAATTTCACATATATACATCAATATTCAAAAATTGTAAATAATTCTAATAACCTTTAGAACGGTGACCATCAAAACTTGTGAAAGCCCTAAAGTAGTACTGGAACTTCTCACAAATCCCTCTGAAATTGCTCTACACCTACGCAGAATATTCCACACATATAGACTGTGACTATACAGAATTTACTCGATGTTGAAATTAACTTCGTTTTCCACCTACATTGTTGTTATATATTTTTTACGGACTAACTAGGCTGGTGAGCCGGATTTAAACACCACTGCTAAGCGTGTACTGAATGACTTTCAACGTGGTCGACTACCCTACTTTGTCAAACCACCTATGGAGGCGGAAGAACTTAAACAGAATGATGTTGTCGATGAATATCCGGAAGAAATCATCAAGGTATTATAAGAAATTTTCCCCAATAATATCTTGTTATTAATACATTTTACATTTACATTGATATAGATGATTTCTCACAGTTTAGTAAAGACAGAAATTAGGACCGCTGTTTGTGTCCGAATTCCCACATTTCTACATAAAACTGAGAAGTTATAAACAAGAGGATTGTACGTAATGGAAAATAGGAATATCTTGTTTTATAAACTAATAAACCTGTTTTATGATGGATTTAACAAGTGGGTAATGGTAGTACTAAACGTAAATGCATTGGGATTACAATGAGAGTAAAGCATAAAATGTATTGTTGTAAATCAACCCTATTTTCTGACTTGATACGTGTATTACTCGCAGTAAAATTATTCTACATGCCTTCGCTTCTTTTAATACATAGTACCGTCGAACGCAATTTTTTTCAAGTTTCTAAACATAATTTATCGTTTTGAATAAGTAGTTTGACTCTTGACATTATGGACAGAATAAAACAAAGGCAAGTCTGTGTTTTATTAAAACTGATAAAATGTTATTAACCCAGAAAGAGAGAGAAAGTAAGAAAAGCAGGTTGCTAGTTTTCAATTACATCCGGTATTTTCTTATTTAAACGAAGTGGTGCTAAGGAGCTTTCAAACTTAAATACAGTTTCTCATGCCTGAAGTACAAAAACCAAGTATATGTCAAAAAACTAATAAGAACGTCGTACTATGAATCTCAATGAAATAATCAAATAACAATCTACTAACTATTCCGCTCCGTTATAAAAATCAGTTGAAAGAAAGAACTAGTTGGTAACGGATACAATGGGGAATACCAAGCGTGAGTATAATTCCAAATACCTATAAAGATAAATGGGCTTTTGTCAGTTACTGTTGATAAGATGAGATAATCGTAAAACCTAATGTAGGTTTGTAAGTTATAGCAGTTATGCTATAGTAGAGACGGTATTTGTGATTTAGTTAATGAAGTAACCTCATACTGTTAACGTTAGGTGTCATTCTGTAATATATTTGCCTTGTTTAAATCATTTTGTTCTGATTAATAGGACTTATCAATGGACGTACCAGATAAAGACCAATCCATTACTGATGTGATTTCTTCTACTGATACCGGTTTCGCAGATTTATCCGAGACAGACTGTGTAAGTCCAACTTCCCTATTATCAGCTTTCACCAGGTAGTTTAATGACTTGTGTAATGTAAATCACAGTGAAAAAAAACTATAAATTGTATGAAGTAGCTTCGTAAGATTTATTGTTTGTAAAGGAACCACTACCTACATTCACCTGTATTGTATTTTTATTGAACTTAATTATTTCGACGAATCCTTTGGCTCAAAACAATGTCACTTTAGGAATCACATGTCTAAATACATTCACATCAGAATTTACTTCTAAAACAATTAACTCGAATGATTACTCATGGTTGCTGTTACTGAATCTTATTCGTTCCCCGCTATCGGCTTTTGGGAAATACTTATCATAAATATTTCTATTAGTACAATATGCGGAGAACATCCTGGAGTTTTGCTACTGTTAAACTAATGTAGTAGCTTTATATGTACTTGTCGTACGGATCGTGTCAATTTCCACGTCGTTCAGCTGCCCTGTTTACACTACATCAAGAAGTTCGTCCTTACCCCTCACCTATATTTTTATCTTGATCAGCACTTTGTTTTCTGTATTATTTTAGAGTGATGGAGAGTTGGAATCAAGTAACGTACTCAACTACGATCTAAACACTAATGATGATGATAGTGTTAAAGCCATAACAACTTCAAAGGAATCAGTCCAGATCTTGACATCAAAACAAAAAAGAAGTATGGACAGAGCTATACGACGTCAGAAAAATCGTGCAGGCCGTCAATTTTACAAAGAAATCCGTGATCAGCGACCTGGTAGAAGTCCTGGAGGTAATAGCCAAGATCTAAGGAAACTAAATTGCCGATCCAATGTTAATAAAAGGCGCTAATGAAACAAATATTAAGATTGGATAAGGGTCGACTATGTATATAATGTTATTTTGTACCAATACATTCTACACATGGATAAAGGTCTTCTTGGCACTGACTGTAGTTTTCCTTCTTGTAACCAAAAACGACGCCAAGTTGTCTGCGACATTAGTCATTATCAATAAGTCTAATAATCAAGAGTTAGCTGTATAATTGCGGGTAAAAACTTCATCATTGTCCTCAAACAACTTTTATCAAGTCAGTATTGAATAATATTGTTTGCTACATCTTTTTTCACACCTAACCGTAGGATTATGTGCCACTATATGTTACGAACGTGCTTCACCGCGTGTTGACTGTGGATGCGTGCCAAGTTCACTTAGCAGGATAAGTTTATTTGGAGTAATTAGTAGCGTAGTATGTTCACTTACTCCTCTAAGGTATGTATCACACCCGTGCATATCATGGGATGCCAAATGATGCTCTAGGGCTAAACTGAAAAAGAAAAGACCAAACTATCTATCCTCTTACTATTGTTGACTGTATTATACTATTTTGCCATCCTGAGATAGGTCGGCGACGGGATCTTAGCTCTGTACATGAGGCTCAAGTCTGGAACCAGCGTTCCTACTTTCATATAAGTAAATAGAGGTCTTTTGGCGGCACATCTGCTTTGTAACGAAAAGTTTGAAAAGTGAGTATTCTTGCAATCACATGCGGGGTATATCTTTTCGAATAGTAGCCAGTGTTTGGAGGGGGAGGGAACACAATTTACATGGATTGTCATTTCATTGTACTATGTCACCAAGGTTTGTACCGTAGGGAAAATAACCTTTCAGTGACGCCAAGCAATGTTTCGCTCCTAGTATAAGCTACTACAGCGAAATTGACCGAAGATTTGTATCGGCTGTAAGGAACATATTCGCGGCTGTTTTATGAGCTCAAGATTGTTGAAAGCTAGTATGGCTGTCGTATGGTTGGACAGAACCTATGAGGAACAGTCTCTGAAAACGACTGCACTAACTTCTGTGAAGTTTCAGTTGATTCGCACGTGGTCAAGAAGTACTCAATTAGGTTTTGAGGAAATTTATTTTTGGAAACAGCAGTGGTTGTAAGACGAGTTAACCATGAAGGTGGCCTCAATTGGTTCCAGTAGTGCCGTTGACACACTGGATCACTACCTAAACTAAACGAATTTGGACAAATCATACGGCACTCAATTGTAGAGACCAAGAAGATTTATGGCAACTTACTCGCCAGTCCAAATTTGTAGTACTGGATGCTGGTAACTAGTCATCGGTTAAAAAATGTGAACTATTTGAGAATGGATTGACGACAACCTAAGAACATCCTACATTTTCATGTCAGTTGCGCATCGACGTAGAACTTCGCAGAAGTGGAATACCTGGTAAATCAAAATGAGATAAAAATGCTAAGTCGAGAGAACATCTCCTAACTAAGTCCCTTGTACCAGTTCGAAGGGTAAAGCATTCTAACCGCTGACTATTCTTAAATAGCAGTTACTGACTACAATCCTAACTGATATGTATCTCTCATACATTCCCAGTAGCCCCTCTCAAGTCCATGTACAGAGCGAACTTGTGCTTCATGTGATGTCCAAGGACACTAACGATACTATAGGTTATCATGGGGTCACTACTGACTTTCTTACATTAAATGAGATGTTTTTGGAGATTCTTGGTACAATTCGAGGTTCGAAACTCAATTTGACCTAGTGATACGCTCTGAAGTAGTATTATCCTCGCAAAGTGGATGAGAAATACTGTTCCGAACTCAAAGGTTAATTAAAAATCAGACATGCACATACACTGTTAAACCGGTTAGTATGTTCTTCAAGGTTACTAGTGAAATATAGGCTCTACAGCCATTTTCGCCGGAGTACGGTTCTAGATAGTGAGGAAGCAGGGTAACCAACGACAGCCCTACTGAAACATCTGGATGATGTGTGGTTCACAACATCCCACAGACAAGCTACTCTACGAAGTTTAAAGTTAATCCATTTCCTGACCTTCAAAACAAATCAGATCACGAAGTATTAGCACATCTTCCAGCTACAAAACGTTCCCGGTAGTTTCACATCATCAGAAAGAAGTATTTCGTAAGATATACGTTGCCAGGGGTCGTTAAGGCACATTAGAAAGAGCAAAGCCACAAATACCGGAAGGCAAAAATAAAAACGAGACATTTTGTATTGAGACAAGTAATAACTTCTACACAGAAATACGATGAAAAAATAGCAATATGAATACTAGCCACTTCCTCCAAGTACCCTGGTACGACGGGTCGGTGGAGTCAGCTCGCCCTCTCGTTATGCTCTCACATGGTCACACGTACACACACTGTTAGGAAAGTCCTACTCACTACCTTCTCGTGACGGGGGTGATTTTGCGAAGTTGAAAGGACGGAAAGTGAATACCTGTAGCCGTAACCGAGTTGGTAGATGTGGAGGATTCACGTAACGAAGTTGGAAAACCCTGATTCCAAGACAATGGTGCACATGGGCTCCCGGGGGAACAAATAAAGTACGGACCTACTGTTGGTTACCGGCTACCATGAGACTGCATCCCTTGACGTAGCTCCACTACCTTGTGGATAAGACCCCTAGATCAAAGGCTCGGGGAATGTCCCCCCAAGAAAACCACCTACATCAGTTTGGGCACCTGGGTAGTATTCCAGCCCTCACACAAATAGAATGAATTGTGTTGCATATATGTTTGGCGTCTCCTTGCACCAATGTTTATGTGTTTGAATAAATAAATTAAACCAATACTAGTTAATGACATACTGTGACAAAATGCAACCGTATGGTAAATTATGAATTATGGACGAAATACACAAAGCCAATACGGTTTATACATTATTTTGTCAGTAGAAAATAGTGTTTAAGTTCTAACTGTAGATGCACACAATATACAGGAATACAAAAGATTTTCTCTCAAATTTTCACTTTTTCGTAACTTTCTTGTTCCCTTGACCGATTGGACCAGGTTTTGCGGCTAATATTTTAGCGTCTTTCAATTTCTTTGCCTCTTCTTTTTCTTTCTGTTTAAATGCTATATCACTTTCATCCAACTCCTTTGATTCCTTCTTTGCCTGTTTTAGGGGCTTTTTCTTACCACCTTCCCGACCCGACATTCTGACTTCGAATCTTTAAAAATAGCGCCCACGTGTGCACACAACTACCTTCTTCCCTATTGGTGGATTTAGATTTGTCTATTTTAAGCTCCTTTGTATGTTACGTATTAGGAACCTTTATCTGCCAACTCCTCTTTCGATTATCGGATTGTTCTAATTTTACGCTTATGTTATTGCTGACTGCTGGCTATTTCCTCCACTGTTAAATGTCGATGCGCTCAATGCGTTTACTGAGTTGTCAGTCCACTTTTCCTTTTTTCTTTCCTCTTCTAAATTCTCTGCCACATGTAGGGCCAGAAAGAAGTGTGTGAGCCCTGGGAAAATCACCTATAAGGCTGAGGCGCTTCCACGATAGACGATATTTCACTGTTGGTCGAGATCTAGGATGACCAGTGAGGATTGTAATGGTAAATGAGTCCCCGAAATCAATAGCTGTGTAAGTCTTCCACACTTGGTGCAAACCACATCAGTCTTAGAGGATTCACCTTGCCGAACGTGCTCGTTCATACGTCTGAACCAGATCACGAGTAGGTACGCCATGTTTTACATCTACTACAACCGCTAGTCAGCTTAGATTGATCACTTCCCGATTTATGGATATTCTATCAAATATATCTTCGAACCCCTTCTCTTTTGACTTCTGATTTGATTAGGTTGGCATATTTCGATTGTAAAAGGTCTTAATGGTTAAAGCGCTGTTAAACTCCGAATACTTATGGCATCCTTAGGATCGATCAACTGGTTGATATGGGTAGGGGATCAGGTAAAGATTCCCTCTTATACTTCTGTAATATGTTAATGACAATATTTTTGTCGCCTATTAAAATTATTTCTTCAGGCCAGTTACTTAGGAAATCCTTTCGCCTGGTTATCATGATCGCATAATCCAGGTTCAGCAGTGACCGCGAGCATCGACTTCGACGTAAATCACAGGGTCTTATCATCCCCATTCAACTCGAGTAGGCCCAGATCGTCGAACAACCACTTACATTGACGATCTACACAAATACTGCTCCACAAGCTCCCTTAATATACAAGATATCTTCAGGTTAGACACAAACTTAAAACAATCTGGACGTTATATAAAGGCTTAAACCGGTTTTCTGTAGTTGTTTGCCATTTTCTCAACACTATAATGCCTCAGACATGTGTACATGAGCTGCTTATACAGATATCCGTCATAATTTCCCCGCATTAAACATTCTCATCAGAATTAGCCAATTATTGGCTCTTTAGCACCAGTCTACGAGGTATTGGTTACAAATGGAAGTATCTGTTCAAACCACCCATGAACTTGATACAACAGATCACGAGTCACTCACATTGGGAGTGATCGTGCTATAACTTCCACAATAGCAATCCCGAGAATCTTCGCAACTGCATAAGTTTTATTCAGAGTAATCGGTGGGAATTACCATTATTGTCTCTCACTTTAGTCAGTTTTATATCTCAGCCCGTTATTTTCACACGTATTTTGGTGTCTACTCATTTTTCTTTCCAACCAGAAGTAGTGGCGTTTGGGGTGTAGCATAGTACTGAAACTTATTGATGACTCGTTGGAATAGAAAGTATTCCGGGCGAAACCATACATCATTATAACGTCCTTCCCCTAGTATCGCAGTCTTACTTTTCAATGCTTTCTAGAAAGACATGAGTTGGGTATAGAAGTGGCAATTTGGAGTTATTGAGATTAGTAACCGAAATGAATTATATCACCACCACTATTCTGAAATCACTGGGTATTGATTGTGTAGTAGTATATAACACCTCAAAAACACATTTCCATGCCGTTACCATCAGCCTGGGGCTTTCAAATTTCTTGGGGAGATGTTAGCTCTAATGTATGTTTAAGCATCGGACGGTT